CCTAGGGGTGTCCAAACTCAGTCCTGGAGGGCCGGTGTCCTGAAGAGTTGACCTCCAACCCTAATCAAACACACCTGAAGCAGCTAATCAAGCTCTTCAGATACTAGAAGCTTCCTGGCAGGTGTGTTGAAGCAAGTTGGAAGTAAACTCAGCAGGACAGCGGCCCTCCAGGACTGAGTTTGGACACCCCTGGACTAGGAGGTTAAAAATAAGCATCATTTAGAAATGAATGTCTATGACGGGAGCGCAGACAGATGCTCAGTTCATGACCCCTTTAAAAGCATAGATGAATTGCAGTGGAATGGATGGATGACTGTAATAAAACAGCATAGACTCAACTTCAAACTGTAAGGAAACTCGCTGCGCAGCTTTTATTGAGTTGACTCAATTTAACCCTTGCGCACTGTTCAGTTTGACTCCTCTTTGGTGAAGTTGGTGCTGCTTTTGCCCCATTGACTTTCATTATAATCACATTTATTGATTGTAAAGCCATGACAGCAGATATGACAGCGAATAATCATTCACACCAAACCTGGTGGTCTGTCAGCCGTTACACATTTGGAGCACTGTGTTTAAGAGTTAAAAAATAGATGTGCCAAAAATGTGTCTGAACACGAAAAAGACAGAGGTTATGTTGACTGGTTCGTCAAACCAAGTAAAACTAAACCCAGGGCTCAGCGCTAAGGATCTGTTCCTCTGGTCTGATTGGGCAAATGAGTCAGAGTTTTACTTGCCCAGGAAAAATTTTCACTTTTTATTTTAAATAACGAGTCAAAAATAAAGTCTGTGAATCTAGAATTTCAATATTAAAAAAAAAAAATGTTAATAAATGTTTAATGACTATAATGCAGTTCGAAATTATTGAACGAAAGGTGTCCGACTTGCCATACTGACGACAAACTGTTCAAACATCACTTCATTTTTTCGTGTTATCCCAGCCTGATCTCACGAGAAAACGTAAGTATTTTACGTTTTGTCAGTTTAGTGGCTTATTCGAACTAATTCCTACGAGTTCAGTCATACGAAAATGTACGATTTTAAAAAGGGGGAGTGGCAAAAAACCCCACCCCTAACCCCAACCGTCATTGGGTGATGAGCAAATCGTACTAAATTGTACAAATTAAGGCCTGGGACGCTATTTTGCTCGTGTTTTTCGTCGTCGTTTAACATCTTGTGACTAAATAAAAGACACCAATGTGATCGTGCACACCAACGGACGTTGACGCGGCAACATTTATGAATGGAAGAGTTTATGATTTTGGCGGAGGTTGTATTTGCGATGCGTGGTGAACGTTTTATGCGCTCGGATTTGTTTGTGGAGTGAGGCGCGTGTTTATTTTTGTTTTTTGGCGCTCGAGTTGCCTATTTGTTTTGGGTTTTCTTTTTCTTTTGTTTGAATGTTTGATCACTATCGTGATCGGGATTTGTGTTGCAGTTTTCTGGGCCCAGTAGCATCGACGGGTGATCAGGTAAGCAAATGTTTCTTCTTTGATTTATATTGTTTTGGTTAACTTGTAAATGTGTATGTATGTCCAAAAGATTTATTGAGATGGTAGAGCAACCATATGAATGTGCATTGAGTTCACGATTGCTTCAGTGTGCACAAATGGAAAATCTACTTTAGCGTATACGAACTAAGAGACATTTCAAGTGCATTGAATGTGCAATTGATTCAGCGTGCACAAATGGAATATCTACTATGTGTAAAGTGTACAACTGAGTTCTATAGGTTCTTGAATGTGTGATTGATTTGATTTGAACTTGAAATATTATGTTTGTGGGAATTTGATTTATATTGGTTGTTGTATATTTAGAAGTGGTTTATTTGATTTATTTCTTTATGGTTGGTTGATGTATCACCCGTTGATGGTTTAGTTTGTAAAAGGTAATTAATAGGTATTGTGCCTGGGCCTGGAAATTTAAGTTTGTTTGGTTTATGGATTTACTTACAATGTGTTGAAGTTAAAGTTTGTTTTTTTGTTTTCTTCTTTATTAATTTATTGATCTGTTTGATGATTGAATATCTGATTTGGTTTTTATTAAATCATGCATCTGTTGAAACTTAAATTTTCATTTAATTGAATCATTTAAGAAACTGTAGTGGGGTTTTTTGTTAACCCCTGGCGCCCAACTCACTTTATTAGCCAAATACCGCTACAACGGCAGGCGTAAAATCTCCATTTTTAAAGAAACGCCTCATGCTCGTTTTTTTGTGTTATGATGCAAAACCTTCTCCACCAATCAGTTACGCTAAACAGCACTTGGGGGCGCTCAAGCGCAAAACTGTCAATGCGAGCGCACATTGAAGAAGACGCCCAGAGGCGATATGAACGTGAAGCTGCTTATTGCTCTGTGAACAATCATCATGTCTTCATCGCTAGAGCTGCTGCTTTAACCATCTATGCTTGTTCCAGTCACCAGTAACTTTAACAACAAGCGTGTGAACATCCTCTCTTCCTCATCTTCTGTGTTATAAGCGGATGTCGGAAGCTTAAAGTTGTGTAGCACCATCTAACGTCAAGGGGTGATTTAATCAAAATAAGATTAGTCAGGAAAAATCATCACATTTGCTGAAACACAGAGAAAGCTGAAGGCTCAAAATCAGTGCAGACTGGATGAAAACAACCCAACAACACACATGGGTTACCTCCAGTCTTCACAGTACTTGAGTTAAAAACTGAGTCAACTCAAACAAAAACAAAACCCATGCAGCAAGTTTCCTTCCACTTTTAGAATCGAGTCAGCTGTTTAACTGTGTACAGTGATTAATAAACAGCTTATAACACTTCTCCAGCACTGGACACAGGGAATGAGCGCTGACGGATGCTAAAGCTGAGCTGTATTCTCAGATTTGGTCCGATTATGTGTTGATGAATACACAGCAGCACAGGGCAGCAGCGCGTCTGCTTTAGTCAAGTCTAAAATGAGCAAACTGCGTGTGGAGAGTGTCAGATCTGCATGCGGCGTCTACATCTACCTGCAGGAGAGCTCAGGAACACTGGAGAGCATCACCATAATGAAGACCAGCGTCTGATCACCCTCCAATCACACCCAACACAGAGCATTTAAAGCCAAGAGCTCATGTTTATCCACCGTTCAGCTCTAAAGCCTGTCGGGGCGTCTGCTGAACACGAAAGAAGATGTTTGGAGATACTTTAGATCAGGGGTGGCCACATGGTTCTGGAGGACTGGTGTACTGCGTAGCTCAGCTTAGGCATGGGATGATAACCGCTTTCAAGGTAGACCGCGGTTTGGAAATGTCAAGGTTTTAAAACCGCCAAAATGTTCTGTGATACCGTTCCTAAGGTGTGTGTAAGATTTTTATTGGCTTTTATTTTTCAGGACAGCAGTATCTCCAGCAGAAAACAGATCCTGTTTTAAATAGTGAATAAAGCGCTGTGTTTAAAGCAAAGACAGCAGAAGTCAGGGATTCATCTGGAGTATTCAGCTACAAAACAATTTAAATCTTTCACTAAATAAAATATATTGTGTTTAAAAGGGAAAAAGGTTTGTGCTTGTGTTACCCAGACATTTAATATGAAGATCATTTAGAGCAGTAACCACAATACCGTGGCACTGTGAAACCATGATGTTTTTATCCAAGGTTATCATACCGTCAGAATCTTATACGGACCCATGCCTAGTTCAGCTCCAGCTTCCTTCAACACACCTGCCTGGAAGATTTGGGGCTGCTTCCGAAACCACATACTTACTTACTATATAGTACATTAAAATCAGTATGCAAGCCAAGTAGCATGTCCGAATTCATAGGCTGCATCCGAAACCGCCTACTACTCAGTAGGTGCTGCATTTGAATTCAAACGTACGACTCGGCCGTTAGTAAAGTGCGCTCTATACAGTATGAATGTGAAAAGTATGAATGAAATTCGGACGTACTACATCCGCCATTTAGACATAGTCACGTGACCTACCTGTGTCAGTTGCGGCGCTCTACTCCAATTCATGAATTCTCTCGCGGGACATTATGGATAGCGCAGCTTGCATAGGGTGCGCACTCCAGAATCTCGTCGGAAGTAGTGAGTCATCTGGGTACATCTCGCGTTCTGGTTTTCGAATTCTATGAATTCAAACATACTACTCGGCTCACATGCTGATTTTAGCGTACTGTATAGTATGGAAGTATGCAGTTACAGACACAGCCATAGAATTGGAAAATCAGTATGCGAGATGTACCCGGATGACTTACCACTTCCGACGAGATTCTGAAGTGCGCACCCTATGCAAGCTGTGCTATCCCATAATGCCCCGCGAGAGAATTCATGAATGAAATTGAGGCGACGCAACTGACGCAGGTAGGTCACGTGACTATGTCTAAATGGCGGATGTAGTACGTCTGAATTCCATTCATACTGCTCACATTCATACTGTATAGAGCGCACTTTACTAACGGCAGAGTCGTACGTTTAAATTCAAATGCAGCACCTACTGAGTAGTAGGCGGTTTCGGACGCAGCCCTAGTATACCTAGAGAGCTTGATTAGCAGCTTCATGTGTGTTTAATTGGGGTTGGACCTCAAATATGCAGCACATCAGCCCTCCAGGATTGAGTTTAGACACCCCTGCTTTAGAATAATGGTCCATTAGTTCATGTGTTTACTAACATTACTATTTCTCCTATCCTTTTTCTATCCATCCGCAGAGTTAATGCTGTCAGATGCAAGCTGTTCACAGCTGCCTTCAGACGCTAGTGGCTCTTTCCCTGTAGAATTTCGGTCTGTCTCTGGGTCAAATGCAGCTGGTGATAGGCTAAAGTTTAAACAGAAGTGAAACCACATGACTCCTTCGTGTGTTTACAAACACAAGCACCACCATTTACAGCTCATTTCTGCTTAATGACGTCAGAATTTACCAGTGAACGGTGCTTTCCTGAAAAACTCCCGAACGCCCTTACCTGTGTCAATCTGTCAACATCTTATTTCATGTCCAACAGAAACTCTTGAAGGAGAGGAACTATTAGAGGAACAGCTCACCCAAAGATAAACATCCGCTCATCGTTTATTCTTCCTTCATTTATTGTGAAGCTTTCAGAGTGTCTTTGTACTGTTGAACACTAAAGAGGAGGATTCTGTGGATGCGAAGCACACCTGATTACTACACTACTGTCAGTTTACTCCCGGCTATCTTCAAAACATCTTCCTTTGTGCTCAACACACTCACAATAAAGCAGCAGGGAGACAGGCCTTCCAGCAGAGTTCAGCTCCAGCCCTGATCCAACACACCTGAAGCAGTGTGAAGAGCGGGACAGCACCTAAAGACTCCAGGTAGGTGTGTTGGAGCTGCACTCTGCAGGAAGGCGGATCTCCAGGAGCAGGGTTGGAGGAGAGCAGGAGGATTATTCAGCTTGAGTGGTGACGGTGTGCTGTGATCGGATGTAAAGGCACTGGTGCTCTGCCCCTGAGCGCTGTCACTCCCACCAGGTGTCCAGTCTGCGGATGCGCACCCGCTGCTTGTAGTGGTACTCCTTCAGGTGCTCCTTGAGCGCGGCGGGCAGAGGCAGTGTCCCGATCCCGTCGTACGAGCTGCGGCTGCTGATGACGGCGCGGCAGATGCGCTGCAGGCTGAACGGCTGTGTGCGGTGGATCGGGTTGGACAGCAGCGGCTCGAAGAACATGCAGGAGTTCGGGTCCTTGTAGTGCTCCAGCAGGCCGGTGACGGTGGGCGCGTGGAACACGCTCGGGTCGTGCACGTCGAAGCTGAAGTTATGGTTCCACTGCTCGATGCGCGCGTGTAGAGACCGGCCGTACCTGCGGAAGCTCACCGAGAACAGGTAATCCTCCTGGGCAGAGTCGCGCAGCAGGAACGTGCCCTCGGGTTTCCCCTCCAGAAGAGTCTCGGCCTCGTAGCGGTCCATCACGCCCCAGTAGCACGACAGATTCGTGATCTCAAGCAAATCAGGAACGAGGCAGTGGATGTAGTCGATCTGTGTGTGAACGCGGTGCTGGTAATCCTGTGTTTTGGGACTCTCTGATCGGATGACGGACGGAGCCGCAGTGCAGATCTCCACGTCTGGAACGGCGGACACAGAGACGGGGGCAGACGCCGCCACTTCGTCCAGCGTGTCCAGACAGGTCTGCAGGAGCAGCTGGTGTAGCGTAGCGCGCTCGTCTCCCGCTAGCTCATTCATACCGTGCGCTAGTTTGGGTCCCAGTTTGTACAGAGGGTTTATTTGTGCGGTGACCTCGAAGGTGTGTATCTGAGCGTTCGGCGGCGGCTCCACGCCCTGCTCAATGCTAATCCTGCGCCGCTCGCGTAGCCGGTCCTCCTCATCCTCCAGAGGTGCGCTCACACACTCTAGCACCGGTGCACTCACACACTCCACAGGTGCGCCCACACACTCCAGCGGTGCGCTTACACATTCCAGAGGTGCACTCACACACTCCAGCGGTGCGCTCACACACTCCAGTACCGGGGTGTTCGCACACTCCAGCGGCGCCGTGTGCTGCTTTATCAAGTACCACTTCTGAGCCAGGTCGGAGCCGGCGGGGAAGGGGCAGCGGTCCAGCATGAGCTCGCTGAGGTGGATCTTCCTGCGGGACGGGGCCGGCGCAGGGCTCAGGCTGTGGGTTTTGATGGGGAAGCACTGTCCCACTGCGTCCTGGATCTTCTGTCGGAGTGTGCGGCTGGTGCCGGGGTCTGGCACAAGCGGGGGTCTGCTGGAGGCTGTCTGGGACAGCGCCGCCCCCTCGCCGGACAGCAGATCAGCACTCAGCAGATCTCCGTACTCAAACCCGTCACTCAGCGGGCGCAGATCCTGTGACGGGTGGCTCTTCTTCTTCCCTCGTCCAGGTTTTCTCCGTCCTCCGTCTCGCCTCTCCTCAGAGCGACTCTGCCGCACTTTGGGCCGTGCGCCGCGCTCCCGCTCCTTTCCACGATCCCCTGTGTCCTCCGGCAGAGACATGATGAGGCTTCAGACCACACTCACTCAGTCCAGCCAATAATCATCATCCTGATTAAGACAAAAACAGCACAGAGTCTTCATTTAGTGTGCATCACTTAGGAAATAAACTTGTCTATCAGTCAAAGGTGCTCATAACGTAAATCTGGGTATACCTAGGCATAGTGGAATAATAGGAGATCAGAGTGTGGTACATACTGTGAGCCTCAGACACCCCTGTTTCCTCATTCTCATGTAATGTACACAAGTGTAAAACCCCAGTAGACAACAGGCCAATCAGAACACAAAGCAGACTGTGGCGGTGCTCATAGGCCATGCTTTCAGGATTTGCATCTACATTATGTCATGTCCTATGTCATCTTGTTAAACTCGGGGATCATTATTATGCACGTCCCACCTTGCAATGTACATAAGACTTTTATTTTAAAAAGGTAGCCCCAGCAACTTGATTTTCAAGATTGTTTTCTGTGCATAGCTATGCAAAGACTTCGTGAGCCGTCTCTTTACATGTGCATCAGGTTGCAAAATGCTGGATATACGGATTAAACAGTTACTTATCTCCACCCTGAAGACGTATAATGTGTGTTTAACTGTATCTTTTATTAACTTTTCATGCGTATTGTGAAGTTTGCTGCACATGTTTGTAATGAATAAACAAACACACAGACTGCTGAATATACGTGTGCGGTTAGTATAAGTGCAGGTTTAATAATGGTGTTGAACCGCTCAGCTCTTACTGTCATTTTTTCTGAAGTAAAGGAACAGAAATACTTGTTATTAAACGTCATCTGATATATGATATTAATCCCTGGCTCTGTTTTTTTGGACATCTTAGCTTAAATATCCAACATGACACATCTCTGTCAGTCTCTTCTTTCAGGGTTAATTATAAGTAAGCTTAACATAAAGAGAGCAATTCACTGTTTTATCCTAAAATGTTGATTGTTAAATGTACAGTTTACTCTGACATATTATTATTTTTATTGATATATATATATGAATACATTGATATATTGAATAATATGATATATTATTTATATTTTTAGTTAATTATTATATGTATATATCTCTTTTTATTACTATTACTACTATTTACTGTGGTTTTTTTTATTATGCATGTATGTTCTTTTATTTTTAATGTAAACTTTATAAAGGCTTTGGCGATACATTCGTAACATTTGTCATCCCAATAGAGCAATTATTAAATTAATTTTAAAGAGAGCAAGCTCTAAGAGCTCATTAATATTCATGACCATTCCAAATATGGTCAATAAGGAGCTTCTGACTGTAGGGGTATTCTACTGAGAAATAAATGAGCACATAAAAACATTTCTGGGGATTGTTCGAACTTACTGAAGCCACATACCTACTGCGTGGATATCAGGGAACAATTTAACTTATTAAACCAATGCATGCTTTAAAGGGACAGTTCACTCAAATATTAAAATGTACTCACTATTAACTCTCCCTCGAGTGTTTACAAACTTTTAAGAAGATTCTTTGTACTGTTGAACACAAATGAACATCTGTATTCACTGACTTCCATAATAGGAACAACCAATACCAGAGCAGTCAATGGTTACCAGTTTACAACATTCACAAAATTGTGTGTGAACTGACCCTTTAAATAAAATATAAATATTAAGATGAAGATCATTTTGACTAAAGACTATACAAAACCTTGGCGAACATATCAAATAATCTCCAAAATATTACTAAAACTAAGCAATAAAACCACAACAAGAGATTGTATATATTGAATAATAAATAAAACTATAGTCTAAATAAGTCTATATTAACATTGTGGTCAATAAATACACACAAACAATTAATCAATCGTCACATAATCATTTCTAAATACACTTCCAGAGACTCGTGTGAAGGTTTTCGGTTATTAATCACACATAAACTGCAATAACCCGGTGAAAACAAGTGAACATGTCACTGTAAATCTCCTGTAACACAATATGTGCATTGCTCGCTGTCTGTAATGAGCTCTGTGTTTATGATAATGATGTGATGACAGGGAAACAATGCTCACTGTAACTATGATCAACATAATAATGATTATATTAGTCACAAACACGAACCTGCACCGCCGGAAACGCGCCAGCTCGCTCCCGATGACGTCGCGTCACTTCAGAGCCGTGATTATGACTTTAATAAAAAATCTGTTCAATAATAACTGAACTTTAATCGAAAAAGTCGCTTTAACTCGAGCTAACTCACACCACCCTGGCTTACAGTAGCGATGACTTCACCTCCGGCAGAGCCAGTTCCGGCTGTTATTGTTAATTTTTGCTTTGTCAAGATAATACAATTATTTATTGTTAAACTTTTAAAGTCGTGTTGAATAATACAATATATCTGTCTCCACATGTATACTGGGTTTTTGCTGTATATTATGGGTTCTGTTATTATTTAATCCTTTCACAAGCGAGTCCCTCATGAGGACTTTTATCTGGAGATTCAAGTGCGCATGCCCGGAAGAGGATCTTCAGCGTGATCAGATTAAATGTAAACTGCGTTTCTTCAGCATTAAATGTGCTTATTAAGTTAATCGATCGATCTGATCGATCTTCACAGCATTGTTTGACTCCAAGACTCGATTGGTACCGATTCAGATGATTCACTAACTGATTCAGGATTCACTCGACGCGCGGACAGGTCAGTGTGTAAACAAACAAACTGATCGATCGATTACTGTGTTATTGATGAGGATGATGGTGATATTTCCCTCAGACTATG